ATCCATAAAATATCCCACTAAAATTTGTTCTTAAATCCGCCATACTTGTGTACTTAGTTTTTGTTGCTGCTGAAACAGAGCAACACAGCTAGTTCTCTCAAAAGTATATCTGTTGCCCATAGACTTCAGCACTACATGGTGAAAGCTTACTTATCTTTCACATTTATGTTGAAGGTTCTTTGCCAAAAGATGGGAAATATTTTAGGTTTGAGAGTTCATGAACAATACCCATGCTACCTGGGGAGTTTTTAGGAATACATCTCTGTCCTTGCCCTCTTCGCAATGTGCATACTTGTCTGTTTTTCCAGTGTGGTAGCCAAAGCTTCTTCCTCTTGAGGCAGAAAGGGTCTTTTGTATTGTGGTGGTAGACAAAACATGTGAGGTATCTGCAACAGTCATACCTTGAGACCAAGATGTGGAATTCCCCCCTTTTCACTCAGACAAGGTGCTCTGTCTTTATAAACTCATTAGTTGGCCAAGCCAACTTTAAAATTCCATTCACTGTTTGTGTCTGGGTCCTGGTGCAAGATATCTGCAAGGACTTCAGAGAAACTGCCAACAAGATATTCTTTCTATATTTACTAGGCAAAGGTATTTATAAAAATTGTCATCTTTTCTGCAAAGTGTCCTCTATACATGGGACTGCCTTTGAGGGTAGACTTGGAAACTTCAGTAGGTACGGAATGTACCTGTTCGCATCCATACTGGGGTTAAATGATACTGTTGCCATATTAGCAGCATCCCATTTCCTGAGATTTCATCCAGGATCTGAGACCAGTGAGCAGGTCCATGTAATATCACAGTAGTGGGTCCTTGTGATGTCACATGAAAGGTATCCATGATGTTACAGAGAAGAACAGGCAAGAGCTGGGAAAGAAGCTGGGCCAGGTGATTGTGGAATAGGATACAGTATATGGCAATTCTGGGTAAATCCGGTAAAGCCTCGCTAACCAGATAATATGCTATAACACAGTCTTCATAAGATCCTACTCCCAGGCCTGCCACTACGATCAGTAAAGCGGGCGGGCAAGAGCAAGAGGACTATATTAGGAATATCCCTTATTGTATGAACTTTATTCCCTGGCAGATACACGGCCAACACATCCCCGATCAGAGCTTGCAAAAGGGTTTTGTTTGTGTTTTTGCTTTTTTTGGATTATAACTCCCATCAGTCCTCAAATGCCTTACCATGCGGGTGGGGAATTTTGGGAGTTGTAGTCCCCCCCCCAAAAAAATCATTTTCCCCAACTGTGCTCCTGTTAAATAGTCATTTCTGTATAGCACTGGTATACTGATAATACTGACATTCAGAAGAGATTTTATGGCATGCAGCAGCCACTGCTGCCATAGGAGGCCCTGGCATGCCCATGCCATCCTAAATACCAAAATAGCAAGCCTGTTTGCTGCTCTGTCCCATCATGTGCTTCTCCCTAGGTGGTCATTTGTGGGTCCTGGACTTCCACTTCAAATTAAATGGGCAGAAATACTAGAAGACGGATGTTTTCATAGACGTTGACTTACTAGGTAGAAATGAATCAGCTCTTGGAACTCTCCCAATCATGATATAGGTAGGTTACTTCCTTCCTGTCAGTCTTCACATTTGCACCTGTTTTGGGACTTGTGGTTTGGAAGGCGGCCCATGGTCTGAAGCTACAGGGTATGTAACAATAATACAGATTTTGCAATAAGGAGGATGACACTTCCTTTCTGCCATAAGGAGGGGAAAAAGGAAACCGGCATGTAGCTGCAAGTTTTCCTATCATTAATTTTTGCACCTAGGATATGATGGTAAATCATACATATAATGTTATGCGTTATAGTTTGATCTGCAACCATGAACTTATTTATTTAACTTATATGCTGCCCACACTACCCAAAGGTCTCTGGGCAGCTTACAACAATTTAAATAGAATAAAAGATATAAAGATACAACAATTAAAATACAATTAAAAATACAGTACAGTACTCTAAAAATTGCCATCAGGATCCAGAGCTGATATTATTTCAATTAAAAATCTTCTGGAAAACTTCCACTTTTAAATTTTAAAATAGTAGCAGCCACTCTGAGAGGGGCTAATTGTGATTAGAACTCTGGGGTTAGGGATTGGGAAGTGTTCCCTACATACAATGTTCCTTACTTCTCACACACCTTTAGCAACTATTTGCAAAGCAAGGAAAAACACAAGGAATGGCTTCCACATTTTAAGTGTATTTTAAAAAAAGAGATATATTTTAGTTAGCCCCCACATCATATCTTGATTTTTTTGTCATGTGATGTTTCATTTGCACCCCAATGAACAATAGACAGAACAGCATATTGAGTCAATGTTTAGCAATGCAATCCTACGCATATGTACTGTACTCTAAAGCTGAGCTTGGAAGATTGTATGGCAAGGAATAGCAGCCACAGTAAGGTAGTTAGCTATCAATAATTACTTTGGGGTAAAAACTATTGGCTGGAATCCTGCTAGAGGTTTCTGCATGCATAAGTGACTTCGTTTTAAATTGTACTGATGAACTACTGCTAATTAATGAGATGCCAGTAGCATTCCTTCTTATATGCTAATCACACAACGTAGCACATCACTAGAATTGAGGACAAAACACTTCAGTTTTCCTTGGGTCCTTCAGAATTGTTAGCCAGTGCTCCTATACTGCTTCCAGAGAGCAGAAACACCATCACAATTTGCTCTACAAATACTGTGATCTAAGCATCCAGATTCACAATTAGCCCCTCTATGAGAAATTGGCATTGCTGGTAATTTTCATCATTATTTGCTGCCAGATATTTCAATGTCTGATGCCTTAAGCATGTCTGTACACTGAAAGGAAGGAGTGGGAAAGGATGTGGAAACTCCCTGAAGCAGAATATGTTCTGAAGGGAAGCCTTCTCACGTCAGACCTTCAACCTTCAACCTTTTTAATCATCAAAGTAGGTAAGAGAGGATTCTGATAAAATGTAATCTGCAAGATTAAAGGGGCATGGAGTTCCTGTAGACAGGAATGCAAACTGACATTGGATTTCTCTGGAACACCTGCGTTTGTCAGTACAATTCCAATTTGCATACTCTGGAAATTGACTACAGTAATTGTGGATACAGGTGAAGTTTACTCAAGTGAATAATCTCTGCTGTTTTCTTACTTACTGTGGATTTCAGGGGAAACGGTTTAACAAGTCTGCACATGAGGAAAGTTAGGAGTGTAACTACACTCCAAATTCATAACAGTTTGATACCACATTAACAGCCATATCTTGGATGTGTACTTAAAGTTCTCTGCTATAATTAGAGGGTAGGCACAAGAGTTCTCTAGCAAAAAAATTTGAAGTGCCTCCCTGAACTACAAATCCCAGGATTTTCTAAAATGAAGTCGCAACATTTAAAGGGAACCATAACCCTGTCGTGAAAACAGGCTTCAAGATCCCTTTTAAAAAGCACAGGGAGTTGTCCTTTCATTTTCACATTGAAAGCAATGCTTTGCACTAAGAACTATGGATGGACCTACAATACAGGGGTCAGTGCTGGTGGGGGAGTTAGGGTCACATGGCATCTTTTCTATCTGGTGTATCTTTGATGTAAACTAATATCCTCAGAAATTACTCTGCTCCCTTTTCCCTCAGCCTACTCCCCTCTCCCTTCCAAATGCTTAGCGATAAATTCTATCTTCCTTGCATCTTTTAAGCTGGGGTGTGTTTTTTTTTGCCACTTAATCATACCTCATGTACTGATTCTCCCTCTGTTATTTCATACCTGCAATAGCTGCCTTTGTGAAATGGGCAAATATACTGTAAAATGATGTATATTAAGGGCCAAAGTCTACTACACAATGCAGAAGGCTAAGAACAAAACAGCCATGGTTGCTGCCCAGGTCTATGTCTGCAGATAGAAGTCCGGAGGTGGTTTGCGACAACACATCAACAACAAAAGAAGGCCCAAGATTCCAATAAATACTTTTTATCTTGTAATTGTGGACAAATATGGCTCTCAAGCTGGCCTTCTCATTTCCCTGACAAATGTTTACGCATTTTTCAAAAAAAAAAATAGTTTCTATTTGCAAAAACACTTGAATAGTCATATTGAAATAATTCTCTCCCTCTCATCGTTTTAGTTTAGTTTACACATTTATTGGACAAAGAGGTTGTACACGGCACAGTAGTTAAACCGCTGTCCTGCAGCCAAAACTCATAACCCAGGTTCGATCCCAGGTAGCCAGCTTGAGGTTCACTCAGCCTTCCGTCTTTCCAAGGTTGGTAAACTGAGTACCCAGCTCGCTAAGGGGGTGGGGATATGTAGCCTGCATAATTTCATTGTAAGCTACCCAGAAAGTGCTTTAAGCTCAATGGGGCAGTAATATAAGCAGCATGTTTTGCTTTTTTTTTTTTTTTGCTTGTGATTGAAGTATAATTCCTAGTCCCAGCTAGAGTAGACCTGTAGTATCAACTGCTGGATAGTGGGCCAACAATTACAGAAATCCAACTGATTCATTGGCTCTGCTTCAACTGGGATTGCCAGCTGGATTCAGGACAGGGTAAAGGAGGATATACATGAAATCTTTCCCCAAAAGGCAAAGATAAAGTGGCAGTGCACAGATGTACTGATCATGTCATGCATTTGTCTGCATATAAATTATATAGCACACAGGGGCCAAGGACAGGGAGCAATCCAATGCAGTACAGCAGCAGCTCTGAAGCACACACCATTATGTGCAAAGCCCTGCAAGGCTCATGCCAGAAAGGCAGAAGTGGCTCTTTTTTATTGCTTGAGGTTTTTCCTTCTTCTTCGTTTCCCCTCCCACTGCAAGGAATGGGAGGGAAAATGTTTAACTCACATTCAAGACAGACATAAAAATTGAATGTGCTGTTGAGATTGGCAGGCTTTAGATCCTAAAGATCAAAAGCTTCCCTTGATCCTCCCGTACCACACCCCATATCCACCCTCTTTTACCTTTCCCAGCAGTGAAGAGTTAAGTGAGTCAGTAGTTTCACAGATGAAAAAGAGTAAATGAGCATGGGTTCTCTACTCTAAGAGTGGATATCCTTCTCCAGTCTTAGAGCTGATATTTCTTGGGGCTTCCAGTAAGTCTGCCATGAACCACAAGGTGCAGGCTAAATGTGTTAATGAGGTTTTTAAACATACTGTACTACAAAGACCTCCTAATATTGCCTGAATCCCTTAAACCCCAGAAAATATATTTTCAGACGAATATTCAACTAATAACACAATTTTTAAAGCATAAAGAGTAATGTTCACTCTCTGCTCCTGAAATATCACTGTGGATCATTTGGGAGGGTTTGAGGGCATTTGGGCCTTTTTAAATTTTTATTTTTACAGAATAATTCTAATTAGTTTAAAAGGTAACAGAAAACCAATAATGTTCTGGGGTCTGATCGGTACTCACAGATTGCTATGACTGTTTGTGAAAACTTTTCTAGTATTTATCAGTCTCATTTACACTCCGCCTTTCCCCAATCAGCTCAAGGCAATACACTGCCTTGAGCTGATCCTCCTCATTTTATCCTTACAACCCTGCAAGGCGGATCAGAGTGAGAAAGTGTGAATGGTTGAAGGTCACCCAATGTGTTTCACTGGTAAGTGAAGAGTAGAACTTGTATACAGTATCAGAAGGCCCAATCCAGCACTCTAACCACCAAACCACAATGGCTTTTCTCCCAGATATTTTATCAGAAGCATCTGTAAATGTCACATGGGATATAGTTCGCCTATGTTTCATGGTCACCTGTTGGATAAGGCCTCCACATTATTACTGAGGCCACACCTATGACAATATGATCTTATCACTTTTCCAAGTGACATACTGAAGATTTTGCAGACTTCAGAAGCATCAGATCTAATTCATTTTTTTATTATTAGAACCACAAGATCTACCCAATAAGGGCAAGTACAAGAGACATATGCTTATCATTAAAGAGCAGCTACCTCCGAGTTCATTCCAAGACCTTACACTGTATCTGCACTACACTGTTATACAGTGGTGCCTTGAGTTGCGAACTTAATTCGTTCTGAGATGATGGTCGTAACTCAAGTTGGTCGTAACTCAAAGCACAATTTCCCACTGGAATATATTGAAACGTGATTAATCAGTTCCAGCTGAAAAAAACCCATTCCAACACGGACTAAAAATGCTACAATTACACACTGCAAGACCCATCAGAGCACAGAAACATATCCCTCCCATCCACCCCAAACCCACACTGCAAAACCCTGTACAGTACTCACCCAGAAGAGGCAGTCTCTGTTTTAAAAAAGAAAGTCAAAAAGCAAAAATCCAAAAAGCAAAAATTTTAAAGCACTACCAGGCAGTCCAAAGTCTCTCTCCAAACCCACACTCTCTAACTGCTGGGGGAAGAAACCCACACTCTCTAACCGCTGGGGCGAAGTAGCAACAGTGAAGCAGCCTCTTCACTGACCAACAGTTAACTGAAGGACAAAAGGAGGGAAAGCAGTTCAAATTCCCCGCCTTTTTCCGGTCGTATCTCAAAGCACCGGCTGCAAGTCAAAGCAACATTTTGCAACAGGAGCTGGTCATAAATCAAACTGCTGGCAAGTCAAGACATTCATAAGTTGAGGCACTACTGTACTCAGATTCCACTTCGCTTGCCATGACCTCGTAAGTTGAGGCACCACTGTACAGTACTCAGATTCCACTTTGCTTGCCATGACTTTACCCTACAGAATCCTATGTTCTTGTAGTTTGGTGAGATACTTAGTATTCTTTGCCAGAGTATGTCATACAAGAATGGAAATGAGTTCACATCAAAGTTTAGAAGCACAGCATGCTGGCTAGGGGATTCCGGGATATGTAATTCAAAAAAGCAATGGCTTTTCCAATCTCTAGCTCACGCCATTGTGCTGACTGCTGCCATTATCAAATTATTTTTTAGCATATAGTGCCATCTTGTGATGAGATGTCAGATTCAGAATTCTTCCTGTATAAATTCAGTTTCAGAGGAAACTTCCAGCCAGCTAATCTACTTGGTGAAGATCAGGCTCGATTCAACATGCATTGAAGAGGAAAATAAATTTAGCCGATCAGAAACTTTCAGAAATACCGAAAAATGAAGCCACTTTCCCCCCCAGTTCTTTTAATTTTCGTTTGTTCGTTTAGTCGTGTCAGACTCTTCGTGACCCCATGGACCAGAGCACGCCAGGCCCTCCTATCTTCCACTGCCTCCCGGAGGTCTGTCAATTTCATGTTGGTTGCTTTGCAGACACTGTCCAGCCATCTCATCCTCTGTCGTCCCCTTCTTCTCTTGCCGTCACACTTTCCTAATATCAAGGTCTTTTCCAAGGAGTCTTCTCTTCTCATTAGATGGCCAAAGTACTGGAGCCTCAGCTTCAGGATCTGTCCTTCCAGTGAGCACTCAGGGTTGATTTCCTTTAGGATAGGTTTGTTCTCCTTGCAGTCCAGGGGACTCTCAAGAGCCTCCTCCAGCACCCCAATTCAAAGGCATCAATTCCTCGGCGGTCTGCTTTCTTTATGGTCCAGCTCTCACTTCCATACATCACGACAGGAAAAACCATAGCTCTGACTATTCGGACTTTTGTTGGCAAGGTGATATCTCTGCTTTTTAAGATGCTGTCGAGGTTTGTCATTGCTTTCCTCCCAAAAAGCAAGCGTCTTTTAATTACTACGTGTCAATCAAGTCACTTTCCTAATCATCATCACCATCTTAAAACTCTAGATCGGGAAGGGACTCTATGGATCATCGCGTCCAGCTATTGTCAAGAATGCACAATGGGAACTGAAACAGACAGGTACCATCAGTGCTGCATGTGACACCACCGAGTTATAATGAGCAATCTCAGAACTGTCCTATCCTCAACAGACCTGATAAATTCTTGTAAACTCAAGTCTGTGCCTTCCTTTAAGAAGTCAATCCTTCTTACATTTGATCTTCCTCTTTTCCTGCTGACGT